CTTGATCAGTACGCGGCGCGCTTCGCTGCTATAGCAGCTATAGCTCGTCCGTTCTAACGTTTTAACGGTGTGCCTGAACGAAGTTTAACATAAACACATAAAAATGCCGCCAAAAACTGATTGTAGTTTCTTGTTCGGGACCCTTTGGTGACTTAAAAATGATATTTACCAAAGTTCTAGCTGCTCCTCTTTTCGAAATTGTTCGAAAATTTATGATTTTTTTTTAATTTTTCTTTATCTCTTTGACAGAGTACACATTTGCACACCGATTTTGATAAAATGGGAGTATATTATTTAGGAGACTTAGAGAATACTTTTTAATACTGTTCACATCATTTGATATATACAGGGTTAGCCAAAAATCACTTATTTTTAATAATGCAAAAGAGTAAATTCATGATTTTAGCATAACACGCGAAAAATATTTATTCCCAATTTTTTTTAGATATTTCGACGTCTATCAGGTTACAAAATGGCATTATTATTAAACTTTTACAAGAAAAATAGATTTGTAATAAAATTTAATAAAATAACGCTTAGAGAGTATTTAAAATGTTGTTTAATTTAGGCTTTTTAGTAGTTTTCAATTTTGAACGAAAAATTGGTTAAAGTTTTTTGATGGGCACTCTTTGGTGATTTAAAAAAGATATTTACCAAAATTCTAACTGTTTTTTTTTAGTTTATAAAAAATTCAATTTTTTTTTAAATTAATTGTTTATCGCAAAGTTTACCTTTGCCAGAGTACACATTTGTACACCGATATTGTAAACGAGAGAAACTGTTTTTATATATATCATTAGATTTATACAGGGTTAGACAAAAATCACTTTTTTATTTAGTAAAAAGCATAATGCATAAAAAAGATTTTTCAAAAAATTTCGAAAAGAGGAGCAGCTAGGATTTTGGTAAATATCATTTTTAAGTCACCAAAGGGTCCCGAACAAGAAACTGCGGAATTTTTATGTGACTTAAACTTCGTTCAGACACACCGTGTGCTGACGAGCTAGCAGTGAAGCGCGCCGCGTTCTGATCAAGCGCACAGCGGGACAAAAAATTTAATATCTCCGGAATGACATATGAAGGACAAATTTTTGAGTACATTTTATTAAACGGGAACGTTTGCCGCATATTATGACACAAGATTAATTTTTTTTCAGCGTGAAGAACACATACAAAATTTCAATTGTTTATAATAAATGTATGCAAAATTCTTTTATTTAAACAAATGAACCTTAATTAAATGATCAATATATAGTCTAAACATTTTTATAATAGTGTGTAAAATTTAATTCAATTATACAGAGTGGTCCCAGAGATTCTATTTTTTCAATTTTACCGTGCTCTAAAGTTTGTTAAATGTTATTAAGATTACCAAAAAAACAAATTTTAAAACAATTTTTTTACTGTGACATATGAGTCATGCCTACTACACAATAATGTGATTATTTTCAAAATCGGTGATTTCGTGAAATTTTCTGGTCCCACTTGACGTGGCTTGACTCAATACTTTTTTATAAACTTAAACGCACTGTATCCCGAACACAAAGCTTTAAAACATAAGTTCTAATAAATTTTGTTTTATAAGAACTTTTTTATAATACATATTTGATACATTGTGTTTATGCATTAATTTTAATACAATTAGTACCTACCTATTGTCTGAAATAAATAGGATAATGTAGGTTTAACTTAAAAATTAGCGTATTTAAATGGTATTATTTTGTAAAATCACAAAAATCCTATTATTTAAGAGCTTTAACATTTTTGTTGGATAATTATAATTAAATACACTTCATTTAAATCCAATTATAGATTTGTGTAGATAATCCTGTTATAATTTTAGACTGTGCATAAACCATTTACAAAATTAAGGTGATTTAACAATGTATAAATGCTGTATAAAAATTTTAAAGCTTTAAAAACAAATAAAATATATAAAAATGCTTTTAATTATAGTAAAGTGTAGTATAGGATATTCTGTAACAAGTTTGGAATACATTTTCCGCTCGAGTGAAGAGTTTGTCACACGAGCCGAAGGCGAGTTTGACTGTTTCACCAGAGCGGAATATGCAATTCCAAACGTGTTTCAGACTATACTTTTTCTACGTTTCCAAAAAAATAACATAGAAAAATAATTTAATTGGAAGAAAGTGAGGTTGGATCGGTCTAAAATTTGTTAGATATTAAAAACAGAGATGTCGCCACTAGTGTTTATTCTCTCATCCGATAATAGAATATTTAATTCTGTAACACTTTACGAAATATATGTCATTCCATAGATAAAAGTGTTATTAGAACGGTCAAATTCCGTAATAGGAGTAGAAAAAAAATATACTACTGCAAGTAATTAAAAAATAATCTTAAAATATTAATAAAATATGGGTTCCCTAAGAAACATCCACGATTTTAACGCATAATTTAAACAAAAATTCCTATTTTAAATAAACCTAATATACAAAATTATTTTATCGAAGACCCTTTTTTAGCATTAATTTATTGGTTAAGCCAGAAAATCGTGAAACAAAGTGATTTATATAAACTTTTTTAAAAACCAATTTTAAAGAGTTTTGTCAAAACGAAACCGTTTATCGAAAAGCAACGCGCTCATTGCATACGTGCATTTTAGCAGAACTATATTTATATCGTGACAGAAGCCATATGTATCGCGCTTACCAAAATTTTAAAGCTACAAGATCTACATTAAAAATATAATACTGAATATTTTCACTGTGGATAAAGAAGCATTTTCTAACATCAGATATCAGGATAAAATTATTGTTTTGGTAAATCAAATACAAAAACAAATTTCCTAAAATTTGCTTCTCACCACGACTAAACCCCCGCTCATTTCAATGTGAATTGAAAAACAAAGTTCTTACATGCATGCTTTTTGGACACCCTATATAATGGTATGGCTCATCCTTTTGTATAATTTTTAGAACGAAAACCATTCTTTGATAATGATATTTTTGCAAATTTGGTATCTTGTAATTATACAAAGACTTAAATAAATGTGACAATATTTATTGTAAAAAAACTAATGAACTAAAATAATTATAAGTTTATATGGATTCCCAAATAAATAATTTTTTTTTTGTATTTTTAAACTAACCCTCTATCATTAACTTTTAGAAAAACCAAGCACTTTTTGCTACGTTACTAATTATGGCGATTTTTATTTTAACTGTTCAAAGAACCAACAGGCATTTTATTTCTTCAAAAATATTTTTTTCTTTCTAAATTTTTGCACTGACAAAAAACTGAACCTGGTATCCAGTGGATTTGAAATAAAAGCTAAAAGTATAGTCTCTTCTCACATGAGGATAGATGTTTCGCTTCTTTGTATCCTTGGTACAATAATATTAACTTTACAAAGATATATAATACATAAACTGAAATTATATTCCCAGCAATTTTGGCACTTTCATCAACTAAGCAAAGAATTATAAGGGGCTAGAAATAAAGATTTTAATAGATATAAAGATCAAAACTCGATAAAGTGCAAAGTATTAGATATGTTTAATAACCTCAGATTCTGTAATCTCTGGTAAACACAAACCCAAAAAGAACAAGCCTCAAAATCTTTATTAGCAATGTTAAAAGCCAAACTTTTTAATTGATATAATATGTAGTGACAAAAAAGGTAAAAATATTGACGATGAATTAGCGTGTCAAGAATATCTTTTTTAAGTATTTCTTAAAATATTTCTCTTTACTTGATAAAAGATATATTTAACGTTTAAAACACTAATAAAAATGACCCATTAAAGTAATAAAATATTTTATTTCCTATAAGAGCTAGTCCCATAAATATTTATCATACATAATTTCTTTTAACAACTTTATTTTATTAAATGCCATTCATAAGGGTTATTTGCCCCACTGCGCTTCAGTAATACATATTCCCAAAAATAGTTACTCAATTATTTTATAGATGTTGCTCTATAGAAATATTTAATTTAAATCATTTTTATATAACAATAAGTCGTAGAAAAAGTATGATATGCAACTCGTTTATAAACTTTTCTAGACACTCATTTAATTAAACACTCGCTCGTGCCTAATTACAATTCGTTATCAAAATGGCGTTTATTAATAATATTTATTTACGGTAAATTAAGCCTTATACATAACAGACTATTATTTTTAATTTATTGTAAATAAATTTTAAAACAATATTTTGTATTTTTAAACACTAGTGTGTAAAAGTGTAATAAATAAATAAAAGAAATATTTTTTTTTTATTTTTAAACAATATAGCGCGCTAGTGCTTAAAAGTCATTCAGCAACCAGAATGACATTTAAAAAGTCACTGTAATAAAACGCTGTAGTAAAAATGTTATTAACAAACAGCATACCTACACTTTTTTATACTAAAAAACATACTTTAAAGTTATTAAAATTTTACATTTACATTTTATTTAAACATCCTTTTTAATTAAACAGTTTTAATTTTGATTTTATAACTGATATTTTTGTATTTTTAAATTAATTTTGAACCTAAAATCATTTTTCCTATTATTATATCATATAATTTAAATGTACTTATTAATTCATTAACCTCTGTACAAAAGTACAAAGGAAAAAACGTCCGTATGCTAACATAAGACAGCCCAGCAAAATAAGCAAGGATCGGCATCGGATCGAGTAGAGAAAAAAGCGCTGCTGCAAGCACCAGAAGCCTCGGCGGCCAGTGGCGTAGCGCGATGCCGTCGAAAAGGGCGAAAAGGCAGGCGCGCCGAATTGCGGCGATTCCGTCGTCGAGCGAACCGCGGCTCCGACAGTGATTCAGGTGGCGTGCTGCAGTGAGGACGCGCGTCCTACATCCGTGTTACCCAAGTTCTGATTTTCACTGGCTCTCCGCAGCCAGGTTCCGTCTCTATCCCGCTCTTCGGAGAAGTGTCCCGATACATTATGCATAAACAGATCGCTCGCCGGAGCGTAAACTGATATGCATACACCGATCTATCGCTGACTTGAATACTGGATGCATAGTTAAAAAACAGTGCGCAAAACTACCTTACAACAATTGTGAAAAGTTTGTGAATTCTTTAATAATCTTGGATTAACCATTTACTAAAGGTGTTTGAGTTATTTCTACATGGTGTTTGTTAATATGTGAATACAACTTTAAAACTCACTAAACAAAAACCGCATTTAAACGAGGATATTCCCCAAATAATGATTTAAACAACCGAAAACAAAAAAGTAAGTTGGTAAACAAAACTCAAAAATGGCGAATGCGCCGGGATATTCCAAGTATACACAAATATTTAAATTTATATACCACATACATATTATTATGTGAACAATTTACTTTTAAATCATCGTTAAAAACTTTATAAGAGCGTGATTTGGTTTTTAATAAATAAATAAATAAATAACATGGAATAATAGTTAATGTTAATATAAAATTAACAAGCTGTATATTAACTTTTACAGAAATAATAATTTTACTGGTGAATATTGAACCAGAACTACCAGCGACATCTAACGGATTCATCTGAAACTAAAAGTAATTTTCCAAAAAAAAAATCTTTTAACAACAAAATTAACAATTATAACAGTTATAATTTAATTTAAAAATGCATTTACAAAAAAAAACAAAATAAATTTTAAAAAATCAATCACTTTTATAAAGTTAACTTTTAAAATAAGTACTACAATAAAAAAAATTTCCCTTTATAAAAATTCACTTACATCAATTATTTAATAAAAATTATAAATTCATTAATTTTAAATAGTAATAATACATATTTTGTTATAAATTAAAAACCCAGATTGTATTATGTCGGATTTAAGTTTAATGTATGCAATTTTTCTGCTACCCAACCCAATTACCCAACATTATATTGAAATCCAAAACAGTATTTATAAAAAGTAAAGAATTAAAACAAAAAACAATAAAATTATACAAAACGGTTAGTCATTCTGTAAAGACAAAATTTTAAGTTATTGAAATATGGCTATTTAATTTAATTTAAAAAAATATGGTTTTATACAGATTTGCGTTACTACTAAATTATTATTAAACTGGTCAAATCTATTTTTTAAACATTTGTTTATACTTGTAAATATAGAACGCTTGACAAGGCGTAAAATGATGCGCTGACTTTTATACCAAATGCATAGTTTTATACAGTAGAAAAAAAGTGTGTAATACGACAATCGTGAAAAGTTTGTAAATTGTCTAACAATATATAAAACACATCAAACAAAAAACGCAATCAATTGCGGATATTCCCCAAATAATGATTGTTTACAATTGAAAACCAAAACATAATTTTATGCCAACAATATTCGCAAATATGGCGAATGCGCCGGGATACTCTACTTAAACACAACTATTTCATTTCAAATACGATGTAACAATTTACTGTCCAAACATCGTTAAAAATGTATCAAAAGCATACCTTGGTTAATGATAAATAAATGTTTAACAAGGTAATAGTTACTTTATTGGCTAACTAACGAGCAGTTTATTAACTTTTGCAGTAAATAATAAATTTACTGGTGAATATTGAACCAGAACCACCAGCGACATCTCACGGATAAATCTAAAATTATTTGTTTTACATATTTATTTTAATAACAATATTAGCAATTATAACAGTTTAAAAATACATTTAATAAAACTATTAATTAAATTTTAAATTAAAATTAATATATTGGTAGAATTAAATTTGGGGATTTTATAAAAAATTAAATTTGTTAGAAAATCTACTTATTTTTAGCGTACAATAATTTTTATTATTATATGACTTGTAAGTCTATATAGAAAGACTTTATATTAATACTAGTTCAAAAGTCAAATTACACTAGTAAACAATAAAAAAAGGTCGGTAATAAAAATTTTCCGAAGTCTCGTTTAGACGATATGGGCAGGACCATGATACAAAGAAAAATTGTTAAATAATAACGATAAAAATTAGTAAATAAAAAAGGTCGGTAATAAAAATAGCACACTCCTATAGATTTTGACCTGCTTGACGCAAATCCGGCGACCAAAAAATTTTCCAAAGTCTCGTTTAGACGATACGGGCAGCACCATGATACAAAGAAAAATTGTTAAATAATAACGATAAAAATTAGTAAATAAAAAAGGTCGGTAATAAAAATAGCACAGTCATATAGATTTTTACCTGCTCGACGCAAATCCAGCGACCAAAAAATTTTCCAAAGTCTCGTTTAGACGATACGGGCAGCACCATGATACAAAGAAAAATTGTTAAGTAATAACGATAAAAATAAATAAACAAAATAATTTGAACGATAAAAAACAGTAAACATCAAAAAAACATGCCTTAAATTTTTACAATATGTACAGATATGTTGTTCATGGAATGCTGAAATATAAGTTAAAAGTAACGTCATCCTAAAATTTTCAAATGGTGTATCTATGCAATAAATGGTACCATAATACCGTGCTCCTATTTTTTATTTACGACTTCAGAAAATTTTTTTTAAAACATTTTGGATCTATTTCAGTCATAAACGATCGAAAATATTCTATTTTTAAACAGGACCTTTTTTTAAGTTAAAATTTGTTGCCCAGTGTAATTATTATTAACTTTGTACAGAAATAAACATCATGTCAGTTAAACTTAACCTAAAAATTATGTGACAGAATCTTAAAAAAAATATTTATTTAAATGCTTGAAAAAATAGTATATAAAAACACAGTGGTCGGTGACACAATCTGCTTCCTCTGCTATCGCCTCGACAGTAAAATGTATGCTCGGCGATAATAAGTGCTATCTTTGCCTGGTATATATTGTACTGCTACATAAAATACTTCTTATAAATTATTTTATTACAATTATGTGAATTATAAAAGTATATTAAAAAATATATAATAATTATAAACTCAAATTTATACTTATATTAAACTTTATTTAGACCAATGTTTTCTAGTACGCAATTGAGGTTAACTTATGAAGTAAAATATAATATTAATTTTACAAAATTAACATAGTATCAATAAAAAATAAAAGCGTTTAAAAAGTAAAATATTATATTATTATGTATCAAGTTTTATATATCATTTAATGATATTTTAGTTACTAGTGAAGCTTGCGAGTGATATTTAATAAAAAACGAGTGTCTAGAGAAGTTAATGAACTAGGTGCATACTACACTTTATCTACGACGAACACAAAAAAGAAACTCGCCATTCTTTTAACTTACGTGAAACTACATTTTTTTTAAATTTCAAACAAAACGTCTGAGGTAGGGGGTAGCAGTTTATCTACTTTTTTGCTGGTTCTTTCAAAAATAAGTAAAAAATCAAGTAGTTATTGCTAACTCAATTTAGAAAAGATTATTTAAACAATTTACAAGTTTAAGGTGTCGCGAAACGGGTGTTTAGCAATTTTGACACGCTTGGCGAGCGGGTGTATGCTCCAGAAAAATAACGTATAAATTTATACGTTATTTTTCTGAAGAGATTAAGTAATCTTTAAAAAATATAATTTGGTGTATTCATAGATGTAAAACTAATTTGATCAACGGCAATTAATGTTAATTATACAATATTGAAAATATTTAAGGAAAATATATTTTAACTTTCCTAATTTTCTTTTTGGTTTAGAATTCATTATTTATGTACCAGAAAATTTGGGAAAGTGGATTGCTTCTAAAGTAAAAAATATTTTTTTTTATATATATTTTTACGGGATTTCGTTTCCAAGTAACAGTGTTAAAATTTTTTAAAAACAAACATTTAAACACTAAATTTTATTTATGGCTTTATTTGGTGATGCCCTAGGAATATTAAAAACATTGACTTTGTAGGTTACTTAGTGGGGTGGATATTTCCATAGTTTTTTTTTAAACAAATGTGGTACTTTGAAACACGCTACAAATTTAGCCTAAAATTTTATTTCCGTGTATTCTAGTGTTTAAAATATATTTAAAAAGTATTAAAAAATAGGAAATAATTGTATATACGAATTTCAATTTAAATCTATGAAACTTATATTTTAAATAAATATTTTTGATTTTATTTGATTTGATTTAATCACCAAAGATCTTCGTTTCGAGATTACCGTTGATTAAATTTGTTTAACATGTACAAGTACGTACAAGTTCTATAATATTATTTTTGGAGCTGTGCTTAACGGAGGTTTGACGTTTTTGGAATTAAGAAATTATTTAAGAAAAACATTGAGAAAATCCGATCTATTGTTAACATAAAAAGATGACAGATGACAGTCAAACTATAAACAGTGGGACTGACAGGTAACAGGTGACAGATGACATACTCCTTACTAGTACATTAGATGCAAAACTCGGTTTTTGCAAATTTTTAAAAATATATATTTTATTCTATTTATGTACATTACTGCACTGCCTACAGCATACCTAAGTAAACCAGATGTATAAGTTAGTATTTGTAGAATAAAATACATTTAAAAACTTAACGCAGATGCAAAACTCGGTAATTGATGTTGACTAATCACGTCGCTAGTTATGTGACGACATAACAATTACCTGATTAATTGTTATTTTTTGGTATTTGCATTGTTGCATAGTTACATTTTTTGGTATTTGCACTTTTCACTTGCAAAACTTGGTCTTTGAACGAGGAAGATGCAAAACTATGTTTTTAAATATTTGATTACAATTATTTACTAAAATACCTAATTTTAAAGGACTTTTTTTTACTTTTTTGAATAAAAATGATGCAAAAGCACGTCTATACAATTTTTGTTTTTTTTTTCTAAAATTATCTTATGAGCGGTTTTTCATGTTTTTCTCAAAATCCTGAGTTTTGCACCTAATATTATTGCAAATTTACAAAATCTTCAAAATTGCTCATTTTTTTTTAATGAAGAGAACAAACACACCTGCTTTTTATATTTTACCCTGTAATTGGGCATCAGCCTGTTGGATTTGTACTTTAAATAAATAAATATGGATACAGTATTTACAAAGATTTATTTGGGTATTTTTTTGAAACAAGCACCCGCTCGCCAAGCATGCTAGTGCCCATTTCTCGAGAACAAACGATTTTCTTATGCATATATTGTTTAAACAAAACTTCTTTTGTTTTTTTAAAGTTTATAAAACATAAATTGTAAGTAATTTTATTCTGTTTTATCTTTGCTCTTGTAAGTTTTCACGTGAATTGAAAAAATATATAGAGTAATATATATAATGGCAGTTAGTAATTGTTCTTCGAAACGTTCGTTCTAAGGCTTAAACCG